ACGCATATATATTGATCGACTACGTATGCATAGCTAATTAATAGCTAGTCTCGTCGCCGGCAACCGAACTCATCATCACATCATATCGTCAGCTCAGCTGCGTATACATACGTACACGTACATCTCATGACCTATTGATCGATCGAGCGTAGTAGTACGTAGGCTGCTACACACTCCTGCTCCTGCTTGTACATATGCGTGTGTACCGTGTACGCGGTTGTTGGGTCAAAAGCCAAGAGCGACGGCGCAACGGCGAATCGGCGATCCTGCAGCCGGCCCGACTGGAGTGCTGATCAGCTTGTACATGATGTGTGCATGCCGGCCGCCGATCGATCGAGGGCAACGCGCAAACCACCACAGGTCGACGCATCCATATATATCCATTTGCACGCATGCACGCATGCACATGTTCCCATCTGCCTATATGTCCATGCAAAAACTTGGACCTCATCATATCGAAGATCATATACAGTCGTAAATCTGAAATGCTCATTTTCTTTTTTTGACCGTTTGGGAATAGAAAACAGGGACATATCCCGCGAAATCCATCAAATGAAAAAAAATTAACTCGTAAAAACCAGATCTAAAATTCACTAAATTTATGAGAAAATTACTGCAAACAGATTTAGGCATAAACTACATTCTCACCAAATCTCAGATGCAATAACTTACTTGAAAGTAAAATATAAAAAAAATGAGTGAATAGTACTATATGTTCACGTAAAATTTGTCTTTTTAATTTCTGTAAAATGAAGCTGATTTTAGATTTGAGATTTGGTATGGATGAATTTCATGCCTATATCTATCTCTAGTAATTTTTTTTATAATTTTTTTATGAATTTTTAGAAAACTTTCAGACATGGTTTTTCATGGTTTTTTAATTATTTAATGGTTTTCACTTGATAATTCCCCCCCCCCCCCCAGAAAACAGTGATGTGGTGGTAGAATTATAGGTGCATCACTCCACCCACCAGGGTTCAAATCCTGATGCCCACGAATAGCTTTCAAACGGATTTTAGTGGAGATTAAGGATGTGCCACTGATTTCCATCTCTTAGATCATGTACTAGAAGACACATTCGTAGAAATATGAGTGTGTTGTTGCATGTATAGTGGTGTGTGTATGTGTGGGTGTGCGTATGCGTCTACCGTGTAATTAAAAAAAAAGAAGAAAACAGTCATTTATTAGACTCTGGCATTCAATTTAGACTCTGCGATAAAATATGGATGGATCAGATTGTGTGCAACTGCGTGCATTGGATCTTGATTCGTGAAATTGACACTGCATGCCCTCACATTTATGTTGTCAAAACATATCCACCTTCCGATGGAATCGTTCCTAGCTATCGCGGCCGGGCTGTTAATTTAGACTGATCGACATCGATAGACTCCAATCTGAAGCTAACCACACACCCACCAGCTAATTAATCCAGATTCGCCTCCTGATTAATCAATCGATCGCTCATCGATCCTCTCATGGTCATGGGCGGCCTGACCGGTTTGATTTGATCCCTGAAGCAGAAAGCCTAACCAATTACTACACCACGTAGGAGTACTCACCAACTAACACCAATAATTAGCACCCAATTAGTAATCGTCCCTTCTTTTCACAAAACTTTATTATTGTAGCACTTACATTTTTATCAAAATACTCCCTCCGTTCCAAATTAATTTACATATAGTTTTTTTAAGTTTTTCCTAAATGATCTACATATTTGTGTTCATTCATTAGATCTATTTGTTATTTGTGCGTTGGAGTAAATGGATATTGATGTATGCATCCATGCACACAAGCATTTATAACTCACATACAATATCTTGATTTGCTATTGGCTAGAAAATAGTGGGGATGGTGCATACATTGAGTTTGTTGCTAGAGTAAATATAGTATGAGGGCATTCCCAACCCAATGACTAGGATGGTGTCCATAGCATTAAATAAGTTGCCACCTAGGAAAAAAAATGATGTGGCAAGTGAATAAATGAGGAAAAAGAAGAAAACCATGTCTTGCATGAGACATGGTTTCTACACAACATCCAAGACATTATGTGAGATAAGTAGCGTTAAATTGAAGTATGGAATAGTGGTGTTTGCATTGGAAGAGTAGTGTCTAGTACTAGTTTCTTGATGATGTGGAGTTTATGGAAACCATGTCTAGTGTTATGGGTTGGGACTGCCCTGAGAGAGTTACTCCATCCGTTTCAAAATATAGGGCGCAACTACTTTTTAAAGGTGTTTCATAATATAAAGCGTGCATGCATTCATGACAATTAATAAGCATCTCTTCTCTCCTAAATTATTATTTTTTAAATCATACACTCATAAGATGTTTAATTCTATTGGGTGCATGTATTGTATTGGTTGGATTGATTCAAACAAAGAAGTGATAATAATTGTTTCTTGGTCTTTGGGTTAAGAGTGGTTGTGCCTTATATTTTAGAATGGATGGAGTATTAGCTTTTCTTGGTCTTGGTGTACCTATGAAATATGTAGATCAATTTGATCTAATTTTAGAGTTGACATTATACTTTTACCCTTCATCAATAATGCAGCCATGCACAATTGATATTAGACGTTGAGTTGTTAATTAATAAGGGGTGTGTTTAGTTTCACGCCAAAATTAGAAGTTTGTTGAAATTGGAATGATGTGACGGAAAAGTTGGAAGTTTGTGTGTGTAGAGAAGTTTTAATGTAATGGATAAGTTGAAAGTTTGAAGAAAAATTTTGGAACTAAACTCGGCCAATAGTTGATGATGTTTTAGGAAATAATTGGAATGCAGTTAAGGAGGATAATAACGATATAATTTTGCTCATCTTTTTATTTGGTGTAAAATTTCCTAAAATGATAAATGATAATCTAAAACGGAGGGAGTAGTAGCTAGCTTGAGACCACTATTTTCTTCAATTAGTTAAGTGAAAAATGCACATATGCACACGCATACACCTATGATTGTGTCCTAATACATCTTAAAATTTTGAGAAATTTCATGGTCGTTAAGAAAGTTTGTTGAGGTAGTTAAATTTTACACTAAGATTTTTTTTTACCTCAAGATACTACCTAATTATAGCTGGAGGTACTAAGTTTTACACTTGAAAAATGTGGTACATCTTAGTACCTTTTCAAGGATATAAAACTACCCTAAAATTAAAAAAAAAAGGTGTACATGAGTAAATATCCAAAATCACTAATTAGATTCAAATGGAAAGTGTCACCTCATGTTTGTAATATTTAATTATGAGCGTCAGGACTTAAACCGACCATTCTAAATTACAGCCAGTACCATGCTCTTTACTTGTAGCTAGTAAAAAATAATTAATCAGGCGTTTCCCTTCTTTTGCACTTGAAGTGTCCTCATCTTGGCTAGCGAATCCAAATTATCAATTCGCACTGTACATATATATCCCCGCGATTGCTACCTTGTAATTGCACCCCTGTCCTTTGTTAACTATTAACACTTCGGGCTAGTACATTAATCAGTTGTTAGTACATCAATTAAGCTAAAAGCTAGCTCTTCGTAGATTATAATATATATTTTGAGCCATAAATGCAGATTTTAGCTAGGCTTTATTTTTAAATTTGACTCCCTTGCTTAAACCACACACAATATCTAGTGCCATCTGGCTACGTAGCCAACAACGAACTTGTTTAGTAAAGCGCCGCGTCCCAAAATATGCCGGATTATTATTATATATATATATTGCAAAAAGTAGCTAACCTGATCTGTGTCGGCGACTGTAACGCGTCACCAATAGATTTATTTAAGATCGTAATTTGGGGCCCAGAAATTACAGTCAAAAGTGTCTGAAGCCACTGTCAGTAGTGGACACTGATGCCAAGCTAGCATGCATGGGAGCCGTAGATAAGTGTACACTAGATTTATTTTTAATCAAATTAACATTTTAAGTTTAAGCTTGTATAGTTATCTCTAACCAGCTGGCTAATTACAAAAGTAGTGCATTTAAGACACTCCAGTTCAGCTTTTGTTGTTGTCACTTTTTTTTCTTAAGGAGAGTGTATAAGAATAATATTAGGGTGCGTGCGTAGTGTTGTATGTTGAGTGTATCCCTTTTATTCTTAAGAAATCCTTTCTTGTGAAGCTAAAAATATCATCATGCAAATTTCTATTCATTATCTTAAAAAAGCTACAAGTAATTATTGCTTAAGTTTGTTTTCAGTTCTTGTTTCCCCTACTTGTGTCCAAGGTGCTTTATCTTATTCATAGTATAAATTGTTTATCTCAATCTTCATTTAAACTTGAATTATTTTTATTACGAATATGTTGTAATTAATCCAGATGTATAGTTCCAATACTTAAACTGATGGATTTGGATTTAATTAGCACCAACCCATTGAACTGAACTGATGAATTTGGACTAATTGGCACCAACCAAACGAACTGATGAATTTGGATCAATCGGCACCAACCAGATGACTCAAAAGGTCCAGCATGTATACACCTAACCAATGAAACAGTTTCTCAAAAAAAAAAGTACACATTTTGGAAGTTGTTAATTTACCCCCAGTATGTGTCGGCACTCGGCTGCAATCATACAAGTCACCAAGAGATTCTCCGATCCTAATTTTGGAACCAAATTTGTGTTCTTCATTGAGGTTCTAACCTCACCTCTCTCGTTTTCCGTATACACGTCTGCTAAACTATTGAACGGTGTGGTTTTTTAAAAAAAGTTTTTTATACAAAAGTTAGTGTAAAAGATCATATTAATTTATTTTTAAATCTTTTAAGCTACTGCTTAATTAATCATGTGTTAATTCGTCACTCCATTTTGCATGTGAACGAAGGTGTTCCCAACCCCCTCCAGAAGAACACAGAGCAACTCAAACTGACTGACTCTGCTCTTCCTTCTTTTCTTTCTTTCTTTTTTTTCCCTTTCTTTTTGCAGAGCACCGGTACTCTGCCTTTTGGGACACGTAGCGAAACTTCCCAACATTAGCGCTAATCATCTTTATTTATTTGCTAATTATCATTGTTAACGTAGTAGATTAGCCACAGCCCACAAGCCTTCGTCCCCACCCGACAGCGACGTCACCAAACCGCGCCACCACCACCACCACCCGCCGCCGGAGCAGCGCCTCCTCCTCCTCCTCGCGCCAGTATAAATCCGGCCTCCCCCTCGCCGTGCCACTCACTCATCCACCACCCAAAGACAAAGCAAGCAAGTACAGTAGCCATGGCGAAGCATCTCGCGCTGTCCGTGGCCGCCGCGGTGGCCGTGTCGTGGCTGGCGGCGTCGTCGGCGGCGGCGGCGGGGTTCTACGAGAAGTTCGACGTGGTGGGCGCCGGCGACCACGTGAGGGTGGTGAGCGACGACGGGAAGACGCAGCAGGTGGCGCTGACGCTGGACCGGAGCTCCGGGTCCGGGTTCACCTCCAAGGACACCTACCTGTTCGGCGAGTTCAGCGTCCAGATGAAGCTCGTCGGCGGCAACTCCGCCGGCACCGTCACCTCCTTCTACCTCTCCTCCGGCGAGGGCGACGGCCACGACGAGATCGACATCGAGTTCATGGGCAACCTCAGCGGCAACCCCTACGTCATGAACACCAACGTCTGGGCTAATGGCGACGGCAAGAAGGAGCACCAGTTCTACCTCTGGTTCGACCCCACCGCCGACTTCCACACCTACAAGATCATCTGGAATCCCCAAAACATCATGTACGCATCACAAAAACGAACTCAATAATCCTCTCTTCGTCAATCAAACAATCATCGTGTTAATTTGCTGAATTACGATTACTTCCGCTATGATACAGATTCCAGGTGGACGACGTGCCGGTGAGGACGTTCAAGAAGTACGACGACCTGGCGTACCCGCAGAGCAAGCCGATGAGGCTGCACGCGACGCTGTGGGACGGCAGCTACTGGGCGACGAGGCACGGCGACGTCAAGATCGACTGGAGCGGCGCGCCGTTCGTGGTGTCGTACCGCGGGTACAGCACCAACGCGTGCGTCAACAACAATCCCGCCGGCGGGTGGTCGTCGTCGTGGTGCCCCGAGGGCACGTCGGCGTGGATCCACCGCGAGCTCGACGGCGCCGAGCTCGGCACCGTCGCGTGGGCCGAGCGCAACTACATGTCCTACAACTACTGCGCCGACGGCTGGCGCTTCCCCCAGGGCTTCCCCGCCGAGTGCTACCGCAAGTGATTTTGAACTCGATCGATTCAAATCCTCCTCCATTGATGAGTTCTTGGCAATGATTTGTAATTGCTTCTTGTTCTTGTTTTCGTCTTCGTCTTCGTCTTCTTCTTCTTGATCCATGTACATTTTGCCATCCATTCGTTCTCCATTTGTTACAGTTACAGAGACAGGTTGATGGTGAATTACTATTGCCGCCAATTTTTTTCTTCTTCTTGTTACTCGATCCAATTATTACTACTAGAGTTCATCTTGCACAGTTGGGCGGTGTGAAAAACTGAAAAAGAAAAGGGTGTCAAATTTGTTGCTGATGCTGAGCAAGTGAGCACATGCTTATGCTCTCAGGTATGAACAAAATAAACAGTAAAATTATCTGCAGCTGTTTGACCCGTTTCGGATTCCGCACGCTACATGTTCGTCCGTTTGACGCGGTTTGGTAGGATGCTTTGATTATTAACTCGATGATTAGCACAAGATGATTAATTTAGTTAGTGATGAATCTAACGCCCAACGGCGAGGTTTGGATGTGGTGCAGACTGCAGTGCAGGGAAGCAGACAAGCGGGTGACAACTGTGTGCTTCGCTGTTCTTGGGTATCAGATTTCAGTCGTACACGCTGAATTTATTGAGCACAACAGCTCAGCCTCAGCTGGTAACTATCCGCCATGTTCTTATTGGCGTACGCGTTGGTTGGTTGCTGCACGCCCAATCCAATGATGCTGTCAACTACTGGCGTCTCACTGTAATTAAGTATAGGAGAGTAAGTTGGTAAAAGTAAAATCTTGCGGTTAATCTACAAGTACTACCCTGATAAGGAATTTGAAATTTGAATGAAATTGTCCCCCCTGGCTGGACGGCGAGAACGGAATACTCTGCTAAGTAAATGCAGGATGTTTTTTTTTAAAAAATCTCTGTTAGAATTCGTACCAAAACAGTGCCCAAATTCTTGCAAGTTCAGTCCAGTTGGCCTCTCATCACTAGGAGTACTAAACAGAAACTTTTTTCCGATAATGAAATTTTATCCGACAGTGCAAACTCTTCATCACTTGGAGTGAACTTCTTTTATATGAGCGGCTCAGGTTCTTCATCAGGACTGAACTTTTACCGATAATGAAATTTAATCCGATTGTTCAGGCCCTTTGTCACTTGAATAGTTGAACTTAGTGAATGTCTACTACTACTAACCGATAATGTCAAATCATGTCAACTATCACTCCACTTTTTGCCCTTCTTTTCCACTTCAAATGGTACAAAAAAACCATCCGAAGAAATGCCACTGGCTGAAAGCAACAGCCACTAGTTTCTACAGCATCACTAGCCATGGCCTCCAGTTGACAAAAACCCTTTTATTCCTGCACTGAAGCACAATGCCAAATCTTCAATGATGAAAGCCAGGGATTACGATCAATCTTGTGCTGAATAAAGCTGCTGAGTATTTTGTGCTGGTGGTGGTGGACATGAAGTAGAAGAGGCAAGAACAATGAATAATGGCTGCTGCTACTTCTTCCACTAGCTGTACTGCTTTTCAGCTCAGCAAATTCCAGAATTGCTTGTCCGGGATGGCCTTGTGGGACAGGAACTGGGAATAAAGGTTGCCTGCCACTTCGGGGGTTTGGCCTACACAACTCAACATGTTTAACACGGTTGTGATGATGTGATTCTAATGGCCTAATTGGTAGTACTAATGGTGCTTGGAAGTTGGAATCGACCTTTTGTGGGGTCATTTTGTTGGATAACTAATAAAGTGTTCTTCTTAGAGGAAAAAAAGGGGAAAAAAAAAGAAAAACAAGAGGAGGATAAGTGTTGCTATGGAATGAAGCAAGAGGATGAATATAGTACTCCATCCGTTCCAAAATATAAGGCACAACCACCCTCAACCCAAAAACCAAGAAACCATTATTATCATCTCCTAGTTTGGATCACCCTAATAAATATAATGCATGCAAACAGTAGAATTAGAGATCTTGAGAGTGGAGGATTTAAAAAAGTGATAATTTAATGGAGAAGATGTCCTAGTTAAGTGTATGCATGCATTCATGCCTTATATTATGTAACATCAAAAAAAAGTAGTTGTGACTTATATTATGTAACGGAGAGAGTACTAGTACGTCCAAATAATTTGGAATCTCATGCTAAGCCTTTTAACTCATGCACTTCAATTCTTTTCCCTGCACAGAAAAGAAGCCAGTGTATGTGTTTTAAGATCTCTCCTTCTTCTTCTTCTTTTTTTTCATATTTTCGTTTTTTGAAGCAAATATTCTTATACGGTAGATGAAAGAAGAACCACTTACCCAAAAGATAATGGCTCAAAAATATATTTTGCATAAACGTACAAAGATGATTCACATACACAAATCAACAAGTGTATGTGTATGTCTATGTTCTAGTACACATACAAAATATATTTTGCATAAACGTACAAAAGATGATTCGTATACACAAATCAACAAGTGTAAGTGTATGTTCTTCTTAGACTCTAAGACTTAGAGAGAAAAATGGAAAAAAAAGAAAAAAGAAAAACAAGAGGAGGATAAGTGTTGCTATGGAATGAAGCAAGAGGATGAATGATAGTACTAGTAGGTCAAAATAATTTGGAATCTCATGCTAAGCCTTTTAACTCATGCACTTCAATTCTTATTCCCTGCACAGAAAAGAAGCCAGTGTATGTGTTTTAAGATCTCTCCTTCTTCTTTTTTTTTCATATTTTTGTTTTTTGAAGCAAATATTCTTATGCGGCAGATGAAAAAAGAACCACTTACCCAAAAGATAATGGCTATAAAATATATTTTGCACAAACGTACAAAAAATGATGCACATACACAAATCAACAACACAGAATATTCTATGTGGAATATGAGAGACTATACTTTGAGAACAACTAAAACATGCAAAAATCTTAAAACATATAGACAAATTTCTGTACTGTGCAAGGAAGCTATACAAATTTTCTTCACACTTATAGAAAAGCAGTAAAAGAGAAAATTAGTTGTCGAACCCTTCTGCTGTAGCAGTATGTTGGTTTTTTTTTTAAAAAAAAGAAAATAGATTATCCAATAACACAGGACAGACTCGGTCATGTATCTGTTGGAATTAATAGAGGGGCCTTAGCCCATTCAAAGATTAATTATTTGAAAAATCACAAAAGCCCACCTCATGAAATAGCATTAATGGGGAGTTTAATACCACCTTACTTATTCTAGGAGAAGGAGACCTCCTTACAAGGGAGGATGCTCTCCTAGCAACTTGAAGCATGTGAGGTGGAGAGAAGAGGGGGAACACGCGCGCGCTCGCTCGCCTGGCATGGCATGGCGGCGCGCGTGCACGACGTACGCGTCGAATGGTCCGCCAAAATTGCCCTTGCGCAAATGCAGCCTCTTTTTGCAGTTTTGTTTTGCTGCAGGAAATTCGGATTTGTTTGTTTTGGAAACACTCCGAATACTCCAGTGCGTGAAACGGCGCTCCTTTTGCAGTTTTGTTTTGCTGCGGGAAATTCGGATTTGTTTGTTTTGGAAACACTCCGAATACTCCGGTGCGTGAAACGGCGTGAAGTCCGGATAAGTTACGCGCGACTTATCCGGTTCGGTTACGCGGAGCAGAGATCGTATAGGTGTCCTGATATCTCCCGCTGTCTCCATGCAACACACGCGAAATCAATATAGGGTTTGCCTCTTCCTCTGTATTGCACCGTCACTCGTAGTCTACTCCATCCCGCTCGTCGGCATGCACCGGCGATCGGGAGAGTAGATCTCCGGAACCTTCACCTTCGATGTCCTGCATTGGGAGAAGGCGGCAATAAGGTTTTTGGGAAGCGCTTTGCGCGACCGCTCTCTATTCGACCACAACGGCTCGTCTTCCTCTTTGCACGCGTGCTACGCGCCGTCATCAATGTCCGCAACCACGAGTACTTCCTACTGAGCAACCGGTCTTCTGGTACCCTTGGTACGTGTTCAGTATGTTGCGCATATTTGATCTGTTAATGCTTTACTGTCTAATATACATGTGTAGATCTCATGATGCGTTTATACTAGTTTACATATGCAATTTTATGATTTATTTATGAAATAAATTAAATCATTATGTGCTTATAAATTCAACAGTATGGTTCGACAAGTGGTATTAGCAAATGTGTGTGTGATGTGTGTGTAGTGGACGTGTGTAATAAATAAACACTAGTAATATGCCCGTGCTAACGCTACGATGATATTTAACAATGTATTGTAACGCATTTTCAAGAAAATTGTTATTTGACAAATGAAAAATATTGTCATACTATAATTTTCAAAATAATTATATACTTAGATTCTTATCTCCATATACTGAATGTCAACCGACAAGACATTATCTGTTTAAAATGTAATCCCAAACGATCACAATTAAGAAATCACATCTCATTTTTTTTCAGCCAGCAAACATTGCCCCTATCAATAAATTGCATGATCCACACTTTTTATCAGTAAAATCAAATACAGAAATCACAAATGCCAGCCTAGGATACCCTGATACGGATACGCTCCGATACATATCCCGTACGTAGCCTCTATTTTCCCGATTTTCAGAAAAAAGAAATAATTAGGGATACTTCTCTGATACGCACGGATACAGGATACAGTACGATCTAATCCTAGCTTCTCATGGGATACCAATCCTCGCTGCGTCCATCTTTTTCTACCCAACGGCGCCGTCGTTCTGAAGCTAGGCAAAGGTAGAGCCACCACTCCGCAACGCGGGGCCTACTACCGCTGCCGCACGCCGCCGAGCGCAGCATCGTCGCCATGCCCCGTGGAGCCACCGCCGCACGCCGCACGCCGCACGCCCCCTAGCTTAGCGCGCGCAGCACCACCGCTGCTCCGGGTCAGGGATTGCTTCATTCAAGTGAGGTCTCGCGTATTGATGGTTCAGTGCATCCTGGATCTTGATGTTGTGATTTTGGACACCGCAAAGTAGACTACAAAGCCATAAGTGACTTTTGAAGATCCAGTACTACTGCAGTACTGTTGGTCTGGTCAAAGCTATACGTGCGTATGAGAGAGAGAGAGGGGAAGAGTGAGACAGAGAAGAGGAATAGTGGAAGAGAATATGACATGTGGGTCCCACTTTTTTTTTTATAATTAGAATGCTGACAAGACTGCCACGTGTACGCCACGTAGACCAAAACCACCGTGGATTGGATCGAGGGGGGTAATTCATCCGGTTTGCATAGTTGGGGGTGAAGAATGTCCGGTTTTGTGGTTTAGGGGGGTAATTCGGACGACCGCGATAGTTCGGGGGGCTAATTCGTACTTTTTCCTCAATTATTTGCATGTTCATTATTTTGGCCTCAATCAATTCTCCCATTTTCTTTGAGGAGTGCATTATTTTTCTTAATTTATTATGTATATATAGACGTATCCTCGTATCCATGTTTTTCAAAATAAGCCGTATCCCGGTATCCCCGTATCGCGTATCCGTATCCTCGTATCGGGGTAACATAGATGCCAGCAACACTTCTGCAGGAAGACAAGAGCATGTGCAACCAGTTCCATTGGCAATGGAAAAGAAGCTTCTTGTCTGTATCAGAAGATCATTTTGTTTTAGCAAGAAGAAACTTGTTGATCATCAAGGACTTTAGTATTAACTAGTGAGCGTGCACGTGCAAGGCACGTTTTTCACCATTTATGATCTTTTGAAGCTGAAGTTATCAATTGTGTAAAATTAGAATCTTAAGATCCATCTAACATATGTTGTTTGTTCCCATCTAAAATGTTAATGTAAAAAATAGAATGTGTCATTTCCATCTCAATTTCAAAATAGAAAATATAAAATAAATACTGAGCTCTTTTTACACTTTCATAGAAATAGAATAATTTGTAGAAGTATCTTTCTTTCCATTTCCGTTTACTGTCCAACATTTTCACATATTGATGAATCATTGAATGATAACCGGAAACCAGTTCATTATTGAAAGGCTAAACTTCATTATAGTAGCTACAATAGCAGACTATAAGTCAGCTATAAACATATTTTAAGCAGGTAAAAGAGGAGAGATAAAAGCAGCAGGCTACAATGAAAGGCTAAACTTCACGTCATTAGAGTAGCTACAATAGCGGGCTACAATGAAAGACTAAACTTTATTAGAGTAGCTACAATAGCAGACTATAAGTCAGCTATAAACATATTTTAAGTAGATAAAAGAGGAGAGATAAAAACACATCTCTCCTCTTTTATCTGCTTAAAATATGTTTATAGCTGACTTAATTGAATGTTTCAATAATTGAATGTTTATAGCTGGCATTAATTGAATGTTTCATGAACATAAATCTAACATTATTCATTAATAATTCGTTCCATTGTCAATGACATAAAAGATATGATATTCATAGAATTTTGGCTCCGTTGGAAAATAATAAACATTATTTCTTTAGTTAACCAAACATAGTTAGCACACAACATGTCAATTATCACCACTAATGGTTTGTTCCTATGAAAAAAATTGAGAGTTAGATATCTTTTTGACTGGCGGAAGAGTACCGGCAATTCTTTAGTTTTCCCGACAGACAATGAATTACTGGCAGACAAACTATTCCTGGCAAAAGATATTAGTCCTGGCAGATTGTCTCCCTGTTTAGCATGCAATTAGACACTAAGAACCAGCTTTTTAAAAAAAAACAAAATATAATATGTTGCATCGAATGTACCATTGCCAAGTGCACCAATTAAATTAATGATCATGAAACAAATACATCTTTTTTACACAATTAATTTACTGTTGATGACTTTATCCTTCACAAAATGCATCTGATTACAATCTAAGAAATACAGGTCAGATGCCCGCACCACAAACACCCAATCTAGTCTAGAGTGGCACCTGCAAACACAAAATAGCTACTTTTGATGGCTTTGCATGTACAAAAGACGATTTACCATCCTTCCAGTAGATTTCTCCATCCAAAGCAAGCTATTCTACATGCAGTTCTTCAACAAAATGTGAAACATTGCCAGAATTGGTTCAGCTATCAGCCACATCCCACCTAGAAAAGATGTTATACATAATAAGCACAAGAGGAATGTTGCATGATCATTTTGTAATACTGAAAGTAATGCAACTATGCATAAGGAAAAGGGGATTTTTTTTTGAACAGTGTAGCTTTCTTGTGGTTTGCAGCTCAAAGATAATTGCAATAGTAGCATTGATCAGATAGCTAAAGTTGCACATCAGATAGCCCTTACAATATGCTAAAGTTGTTACCTAAAGGTAATAAGTACCGTATGAAAATCCTAGATGGTCACCACACATGCATTCTAAAACTATTGGCTATATTACCATCATTTAGAGTACATATTATATCAGGTAGGGATCTGATTGTTAGAAGTCAAAACTCAAGCATAATTCTTAGCATTTTTTTTATTATGGCATCTTTATAGGTTGCTTGTTGTTAGGGAGATATATAACAAGCCAATCCTGGGAGAATGATGTGGAAGTATGCTAGGCAAATTTCAGAGATATGTGCATAGCTAACTCAGATTCTGTAATCACCATGCAGGCCTTGATGGTAAAAATTGCAACCAACCGAAATGCTAGTGTTATATATCTGATCAAACCGAAATACAACCACACATGCAACCAAATTGCACGCAAGTTACTATAACAGAACTTGTATTACCTGTACAAGTTACTATATATGGCACTGACAAGTTCAAGGGGCTTTATGGCACTGGCCTGAAAATAGAAGGGGGTTACTGGATTGATAATTATGTAAAAATTACAAACCTTAATACAAAGTAAGGAGCTTATTAGTTGGAATACACATAAGGCTTCCATAAGCTGACCTGAAAATCTGCCAATGCCAGATTAATGATGTTCAGTGCAGTTTATAGCTAGCTTGCATGCTGGAAAATTAAATATCCCAGATGCATGTTTTCGTGATTGAACCTGAAATAAAACATTGTAGAATGGTTATCCACGGCTAGCATCACAATTAGGATATGTATGTATATATGGCAGGACATACAAAGGAGCACATGTTCACAAAAAAAATCCCATTATACTTAGTCCTGTGTTTAATTATCGAATTGAGAGGGAAATCAACTGTCTTTAACCACAATATCAAAAAATTTAGTCAAGCATCACCAACTTATCATTGTCAAATCTCAAAGCAGATCCATTCATCAGGATTATTTGCAAATTAACAAACTAATAACGACCCCCTACTCCCTCTACCCCATCAAGGTATTATCTCCATGTAAGTTACCTGACCTAGCATCCATAGTTATAATAAAGTTTCATAAATGTCTCCATATTTCTGTTAAATATCTCAGATTTTACAGCTAAGAACACGTACAGATGTTCTTTTCAGAATACCTCAGGATCTTAAGCTAGGCACAAACAAAAGTTTTATCACCCATAATTTTTAGAAATGCGTTATCACCCACATTTTTTAGAAATGTGAAAAGAAGTGCTTAAACAAAAAAAGTAAGCACACAGACTATAGCTAATGGTTTGCTGCATGGATCCACTCAATCCGTTGCAAAATTGCTTATACCCAAAATTCTCATATTATACCTCTTATGAAACTGAGGAAAAGAAAGAAGAAAAAGAAAGGAAGATAGAAAAAAATGCAGAGCTACTAAAAGCATTTCATCTTTATCTTTACAGAGAAAGGAAGATAGAAAAAAAAATACAGAGCTACTAAAAGCTAAATAAATAGTTTATTGGATAAAATGAGAAGATAACTTGCAAGCTCTGCACCACCTTTCAAACATATTCACATGCTTTATTGAAAATACTGACATATACTTATTTTAGGTATATGGCCTCCCTCAAGTACGAACATATTGAAACCATTGCTTGCTAACTGTAGTTATGAATAAGAAGCTAAAAAACCTGTGGTCAGCAGGTTGACAAATGTATATAAATTTAGTCATGGGATGCAATATACTCCCACTCTGGTGAGCATGCATGCCCATAGAAAAATCCAGAAAATAGTATGCAGCCTGTTGTTTTATCTGAAACATGATGAAAAAATAAATACAAAAATGACTTGTAAATATCAATGTGCGCATACCCAAAGGTACTCTTATACAAAATATATTGTAGGCGCAATCACATCGAAATAAAATGAAGCTCTTACCTGGAAATTATGGCTTCAATTTGCTTCTTGAATTAGTTGGCCATCTCAAGAAAATTGCTGGAAACAATCCATTGTATCAATACATCACCTATCTGTTAGCATGACCCTGATTCAGAATTATATAATTGAGCTGCTCATAAAATTGCAAGCTAAACCACCAGTTAAGGTTGATTCAGGTGTAAACAGGATTCAGATTTGTTTAAATGCATAATTTGCACTTTTGTTCGAAAACATTTACACCGTAACATGGTTATGCCATGCAAGTCAATCACCTTCTCCTCAAACACATTGTGTTTCACCATTAGCGGTGGTGCAGTTGCTCCATCTCTCTCCATAGATCCACCTGGAACAACCCACAGAAATCAAGATCAGGGCACCACCACAGAATCATGAGTTCATATGACGGGAAGAAATTACAGAAAAAAATTTGAGGATATTACATGGAAGAGAAAGCGACTGAATTTTCCTGTCAAGAAAAACTCCTACCAGCTTAACTGCGCCACTTTTCTGTTATCTGAGCAAACGCGATGGAAGACCCTTCTATTCCGCTGAAGCTAGATATTCCACCAGGTTGTGATCTCTTTCTCTCTTTCTTTCAATCTTTGGCTTGATACGAGCGAAAACAAAGACACCAATCAGACATATATTATACTCGTATTGCATAGGGGATAAAACCAAACTTCTGCAGGCACAAATTTACTCCCAAACATTGACAGTGAAATAGCAATCTTTTACTAAATTTACTCCCAAACATTGTGATTTCATAGGGTCCATTGCACGCACATGGTAATCTGTGCAGCCACTATCGATCTATTAAAAAAAATCCTAAGTTAATTTTAATTTTTGAGAGGCACCAAACATAGAGAATAACTTGGGAGGAGAAGGTAATTGGCTATGGAACAGAGGAATTCCACTTACCGCTACTTCATCGTCAAATTCCGGTCGCTGGCCTTCGTCAGCCATTAAAATCTTTGCCTTTTCGCCCACAGTTGTCCGGATGGAACTCAACATAGATTCACATTTGTCTTACACAGGAGCAGCAAGGGAGACGTGATCCGGATGAGTTTGCGGAGGGGGCAGAGGAGTCGCGGCGGACACAAGATGTCGAGGGATCGACGGCGGCCGGACTGCGGGTAATCGACGGCGAGGTGTGGTGGAGACGCGAGGGCGATGCGGCTCGATGGAGACCAGACGGCGACGGATCGACGGCGCCCAGATAGTGGGGATCCAGCCAGCGAGGCAGCGAGGGCGAGGCAAAGGCTAGGGTTTACGGGATCGGGGACCCTGCTTGTGGGCTGCGGCTGAGGTGGGCAGGCGTGACGGGACGTGAGGAGAGGTGGAGAGGGCGGCGCGGGAGAGGAGCGGGCGGAGGGAAGCGGCGGTGCGGCATGGGGAGAACGACGGTGCAGGCGGAGGGAATCGGCGGCGCAGGCGTGCGGGGCCAGGCGGAGGTTAGCGGCGATGCAAACGTGCGGGAGCGGATGGATTTTCGTTTTTGTTTTCTTTTTTGTGCGCGGTTTTTCGGGTGTAGAGGGTGAGGGGTTGGTCCCACACGATAGTGGAACCGAAGGATTGGAGGATTGGGGATGAACTCGTACTTTTTATATTAGTATAGATAAATAAACTACCCTCAAAACTAGAATTGTGACATAGAAGACCAAGACTCCCTTTCTAGTCAGTCCCCAGCAGGTACCCACGGCAATGGTTCTTCCAGCCGTTCTTGTTTTCCTAGTCGAAGACTTATTATTTTGTTCCTTCCAAATTACATAAGCAATCAGGACCGCAACTGTATTGAAGCCTCTTTGTTCATAACCTTGGAATCCTTTTCACACACCTGCAACTCAAATGTGACAACAATGAATAAGTAAATTAAGCTAGAGGATGCATTGCGACAAAGGCTAATCAATTCAATCAAAGTCAAAATTTTATTGTAACAATTACAAGAAAAGTTTGCTATCTTTGAGGTAAGTAGCAAAGAATACAATTTTAAGTATTCCACCAATGTTGGTCCACTCAAAATACCGTGGAGTTAAACAGGTTATACAACAAAACAGCAGTTCAGAAAAAAAATGCATTTAGTTACCTCCAAATATCCATATGCCAACTTCATCTATTACACCTAGCCAACCATCACAACACACGAGCTATAGATATGCATTTTCACCACTTGTCTGCACCTTAAGATTAATAAAGATGACCTTGTCAAAAGGATAGAAATATGAGGTTTATCTTAATATTGCCACATCTAACAAAACAACACATGGAAGGCAATTATCTGAGTTAATGCATCCCAATAGAAATATTAAGAAACATGTTCTTTCCAATACCCGTTTAAGGTATCGGCAATCCCTTTTTTACATTCACATCAAGGGACCAAGCAGCTGGTAGATCAGATAGAAGGCTATAACTATACACATGCTTTGTTGATAACTGTAATGGAGATGTCACGGCCAAAGTTCAGAAAATAGGACTATCTCTAGATTTGTCAGGTTCAGATAAGAAGTTGGCAATGTGGGCGGCGATTAGACGACTTGACTTAAAGGGAATCCAATGGCTCACAGCGTAAAGGATGAGAACGATGGTTCATGTGAGACATGGGTTTTCTCCAGGCTGTCCCGTTGACATCATGTTTTTATCGGGATGTGTTTAACCCGTTCTTAATTTCAGAACTTTTCTTTCATTACACTTGATTGTAATCAACTAATTAAACCCGGCCTATATATATATCATGGGAGTTGGGTGGAATGTGAACTAAGAAAATCATATTCCTAGTCCCTTTAGTAGTACAATAGCCAGCTTAGAACACTATGATTTATCCCCAATTCTCTTAATTCCAAATCTGAGCACAAGCTGATAGGAGACCTACAACAGCATGGTGGCTCAAAGCCAGCGGCAGTGTGGGAACTCGAGCCCATGAAGTCCTAACTTCAGTATGCACAGATCAATTAGATACGGAAATTCATGACTGCATTTAAAATGGAACGGAAGGAGTAAATGAAATTTTAACGTAACAAACGAAATTTTCTCCACCGCAACAATGGTTAACTGAATGAAGAACGGATAAACTTATAAGGTCATGAGATACTGCGGTAGGCATCCGAGATACTCCCTCCCTCCGTCCCAAAATAAACCAACCTCGTACGGAATGTGACACATCCTAGTATATCCAGATTCGTAGTACTATGATGTGCCAAATCTTGTATAAGATTAATTTATTTTGGGACTAAGGGAGTAGGCGCACTGAGATGAAACATGTTCTATCTAAATGACCAAACGACAAGAACCGTATCCGAGAGTGACGTGGTTTCAATTACTAAGCCTCCAGTCCACATGATGTTGAGTCATCCCAGCCCTTTTTACAGCACATGATAGTTTTTTTTCTTTCTTTTTGAGAGGACAACATGATAGGTACTTGTGTTTTATCCCAACCAAGAAAAGGTCTAATGCATATTCGCTTCCTGCGTTTCTCCTGACCATATGTATATCTCTAACCATTTCTGGAAGCTATCTTGTGGAGTGGGAAATAATATGGAAAAAATTCGTCCTCACAATGCCTTGCAGGATTGAGGCCGATGGAAGAATAAGCAGCATGGTCTAGGATGGTTTCTCATCTCGTTGGCTTCAGTTTTATTGATTGAGATGCTGAAGTCAGATTCATAAACCATCACTCATTGGTATACAGAGAATAACAATGCAATCACCATCACAAATCACAACCACAACTGCGAAGCTCATTACAGCAGCATGAGCAAATTGCAGTTTCATACTTTCATGCCAGTAGTTCTACTTTTTTTTTTCTAGGTTTTGCAATGAGCTTGTACAAATAATTGGCCCATATTTTATACGGATCTGCCTGATCCTATTATTATCAACTTTGCATCATTTGCTACAAATTGTGCCATACATTATGGATCTATCCATATAGCAGTATATATTTGTTTCAAAATGTGACAGTAATCCACTTCTTTTATAGGAAAAAGAGTTTCTTCTGGTCCTCTTGGCGCAGGGTTGAGAACTTTAATGAATGGTCCAAAAGAAGGTACAATCAAATATGGCACACTGAATTCTCATTGAGAAGCAGTTATGCAGGGTTGAGAACTTTAATGAATGGTCCAAAAGAAGGTACAATCAAATATGGCTCACTGAATTCTCATTGAGAAGCAGTTATCAGAATGTGAGTAACATACATGCTATGTCAACATCTTGGAAGGATCACAATTATAAAGTATCTATACTGCATTAAAAGAACTTGAGTATACCATAACATAAAAAGGATTATTTCACATGACAATCTCAGGTTTCAGGATGCTTGATTTGATCTCTTTGTGCGGGAGAATAACACCGCCGTTGGTATAGACCTCATCACCTACATGTACGTCCTCTCCTAGGATAGTCATATTTTCTATCCGTGCCCATTGTCCAACAGTTGAGTGCCATCCAATAATGCTGTTTGATATGCAAGCATGCTTCTTAATACGCACGCCACGCATCACCGTGCAACGGGAAAGCCTCACACCATCCTCCACGACGCATCCAGGACCAATAGCAACATCAGGACCAATCAGACAGCCTTCGCCAATCTTCGCACTCTCGTGAACTAGCACATTCCCAACAATGTGTGCTCCAGTGGCTAACCTGTTGGCTGATCTCTTCCTAAGTGAATCCAGATAAAGGCGCAAGCCTGTAATGTAATCCCTTGGTTGGCCAACATCCATCCAAAAACCTGGAAGGACCATAGCAAAGAGCTTTGCATCAGCTGAGATTCGAGGAAAGACCTCTTTCTCAATTGAAGTTGGCTTTAGCTCGATGCGGTCCAGGACAGACGGGTTCAACAAGTAAATTCCTGCATTGATCTTGTTGCCTACAAATATTTTTGGTTTCTCAACAAATTTTTCCACCATTCCAGTGGCCTCCTCCATAACCACAACACCATATTTTGATGGTTCGTCCACCTACATTGAAATAATAGTCAGTATACACAATCAACGAGTTTATAATCCAAGAAAGTGGTCAAAGAAAGGATCTACCTTGGTGACCATAATTGTTGCCTCACCACCATGGTTCTTGTGAAATTTTATGAGCTCAGCAAAAGGGTATTCACTTATGACGTCACTGTTGAGGACAAAGAATGGCTCACCAGATCCATCCACAAGCTTGTCCCTTGCTAGAGCAAGAGGGCCAGCAGTTCCCAAGGGCTCAGTCTCTTGGGAACACGTGATTGTGATGCCAAGCTTATCCTCAAAGTCCTTCAGGAAATTGAGCATTACCTAAAAGACGGATACAGAACAAACCAATTAGAATGCGAAGATAGTTATACTTATACCATGAGACAACAGTAAAATATTATCTCCTTTTTACCTCCGGGCGGTAGTTGATGGCTAAAACAACTTCTGTTACTCCAACTTCTTTCAAGGCCTCAATCTGCATAAACCAGAAAACTTTTAATTCAGAGCTCATTACTCTCCTCAATCCTCATGCTCATGTTTGCTGGAGCCAACATTTTGGATATAAATGAAGTACTCTTGATAACTGATTGGAATTTTCAAGGACAGAAAATTTGGTGTGATACCAAAAGAGTTCTCCAAAATCATGTAACCAAATTGATAAGGAAAGAAACAGTTGAATAGTAAAAAGGTGCATTCAATCACATGCAAATGCCACCTATCATGGATGTTTAGTTGTTACACCATGTTTATGTGGGGGTTATAAACAAATCAAATAGTATTAATGTTCTTTGACCAGTTTAACACCCTCTCCCTCCTTTCATGGAGAGGCCAGTGTCAGTGTTGGAATGTTGGTAAAGAATACTGTACTAATTAACTTGTGCCCAATTCATCGATTGGCATTGCAAATTAAGTGCTCTTATTACTCCATCAGAGTACTAGCGAAACCACATATTACCTGATGCAGAATCATGGGCTTGTTCGCGAAATCAACAAGAGGCTTTGGGAAACTGAGCGTTAAAGGCCGAAGGCGAGTGCCGAAGCCTCCAACCAGAATGAGCGCCTTCATGGTGAATCGCCTCCTGTTCTTCCCTCCCTAATCCCTACTCCGGCGGAGGGATCCTCAAGCAAGGCTTGGGAAGGGGAACCTGCCATTGCAACAGACAAAATCAAATGTGAAACTAGGTTGGAGCATCAATAAAAAAGAAAGAAAGATTTCGATTTGATTGCTCGCGGTCGTGGCAAAGCTCCAGTGAGCTGCTTTCGTACCAATAGAAGGGATCAGCCTGGAAGATCTCTCTTCCTTCTCCACGACCAGCCCCATTGGAGGTAGGTAGCACAGCTGCGGTCGAAGGAGGAGCCTTTGTGCTGTGCTAGATTGGGAATCGAGAATTGGATGGGACTTTATAGAGGCGAAGTGGAGAGGCGACGCGAGGAGGGGAAGGGGGCCCACAGTAGAGATGCGGTTGTGTACTTGTGTGTGTCTCGCTCTCGCGAAAGAAAATTCGCGACCACAGGTGACACGTGTTCCATCACAAATCTCAAAGCAAATCCCATCATCTCCACAATCTTGTGTTTGGTTTATGGGTAAGGTATGATACGTTAAACTCATCAAGTTATTGGATATCTATATATCTATATAGAAACGACGGACGAAGCGGACTAATGGAAGCCTTACGAATTTTTTTATTAGATATAGATATCTATATACCTAATTAAAAAATAAGTAAGGCTTCCGGTTAATCTTTTCGTCCGTCATTAAGAGTGGGCCCACACGATAATTCGTCGCTAATCCATGATCCGAAAGCGTGGCCACGATCTCTTACGCCTGCAAATAAAGGAGAAAAGAAAAATAAAAAGAGAAAACCTTGTTTGTGGAGCAGCCCATCCAAAGCAGCCCGGATTGGATTAGTGACGAGGCAGCCCACCCAAAGCAGCAGCAGGCCGGCCCAGATAGCAGCCGCAGCCCACCAGCGAGCCCACAGAGCGGAGGAGAAGCAGCCCACCAGCCCAGCACAGTACTGCACAACACTGTAGCAACCGAACACGAATAAAGTTTGGACTCACGCCAAGCAGGAATCGGATAATAAAAGAAGCGATTTTATTACTTAAAACATGTAGTCACCAATGTAGTCACCAATAAAATGAATTATTTACCGACAAAATAAATTATTTTTTAAAATAAAAATAATCACATGTGTCTTTCTTTTTTTAAAAAAAGAAGTAATCACCAACAAAATGAATCGTGTTTACATTTGGATTTTTTTCCCCTCATCAATTGCTCATTCGCCATAGGACACCTAATCACATCACTTTTTTTTCCATTCATTATATAATTTCTTCTATTATTTAGAGTGAAAGTTATTCTGCGATATACCACATTTTTTTCTTTCCTTCTAATTATTTAAGTGAAAGGTTATGCAATTGGAGTGCAATGAGGTTGATCTGATAGCTAGCAAAAAATTATTTCTTGTATTATGGCTACTCTTTACAATATGAAAAAAATGCTTATCAATATCGAGTACCAAAAAAATAACAAAGTACTGCAATTGACTCATAATAATACATGACAAAAAAGTAAATATTTTTTGTGGTTTCAAACTTTAGTATCCATGTCAGTGCATTTAGAGCAGCAAATAATTATATCATGTTAGCGTCTTATTTGCACTAGAAAGATTCGATTCGACTATAAAGACCTCAATTTACCTGGTGGTTTTATGCTCCCACACACTAATTACTATTTCTGTCTTCACCCAATGCAACGCATGGGCATTTTGCTAGTAGATATAGATATAGATATAGATTAGATATAGATAGATATCTACCTACCTATATTATAATTAATAATATAATAAAAATATAAATCTATCATATACCTACCCCTAATTAAAAAATTCAGTCCGCTTCGTCTGTCATCTGTATGTTTTGAGTCCAAGTCGGTCTTCAAGGAAAAAAAAATCCCCGTGCTAGATACCCAAATTAATCAATCAACCAAAAACAGCACGAAAATACCAAATTTAACCTAGATATCATGAATTTGATCCCAAGAAATCTAATCCCCCAATTCGATCCATCTGAGCCAAGACACAATACATAAACGATAGAAAATGAATCACGAAATCACAAATCCAAAATCATCCAGGGAAAATTAACTCACAAAAACTAAATCAGCGACGCCACTGGTCATGGGAGGCGAGGACGCCGCTTCTACGAGGAGGGTGCCGCCGCCGAGGCTGTCGATACCGTCCGTTGTGTTGTGGCGGAGAAGAGGGTGAGGACGCCGCCGAGGAGCCAGGGGGAGGGCACCGCGGCTGAGACGCCGGCTGCCAAGGGAAGGGAAGGGCGCCCTGGGTGAGTGGTAGGGGAAGCGACGTCGTCGGTGGGGGGAGAGGGAGGGCGCGCTGGCTGAAGGGTAGGGGAAGCGGCGTTGCCGGTGGGGGAGGAGGGGGCCGGAGAGAGGGACTGAGGGAGAGGAATTAACGCGCCGCGGAGAGAGGAGAGAAGGTGGGGAAGGAAAGAGATAATAAGGTCGATGGGGCCAAGCATTGAGACGCCGCTCTCTTCTCTAGTCTAGTCTCATCCCAAACACTTGATTTCCTCTAAAGCGACACATGTCCCCCCTCCTTCTCTCCTACCATGTGGTTCCCAATTCTTTATTTTTTTTTCTCCCGGTGAGATGCAGGGTTTCCCAAACCACCAGAGCCGGGGTTACCGTGCCCCGGCGGTAAGCACGGTTACCACACGGTAACCGTGGTAACTGTGAAAAACCGTACAAAACCGTGCAAAATTTATCAAAAATTTAAATTATTTTTTAAATTTATTTAAATTTAAGGAGGTTACCGCGGTATTTATATTACCGTATCCCCGCGGTAAGCCCGGTTACCGGCGGTAAGGGAAACCCTGGTGAGATGTTGAGCTTGGGTCGGACCATCCACGCGGTGTTGAGCGCCATTGAGCTCATAGTGGCAGCCGGGAATTGGAGTCAAGGCATCAAGCTAAGCCCTACCAACTTTTTCTTCAAACTTCCAACTTTTCCATCACATCAAAACTTTCCTACACACATAAACTTTCAACTTTTTTCTTCAAACTTTCAATTTTAAGTTAAACTTCCAATTTTCGCATGGAACACACCGTGCTGCCGTCCTACTGAATGAAAGATAAATCACGTGCATGCGTTATCTTTTTTTTTCGAACAGTCAGACCGTTGCCGACGTTTTATATAAAGAAGAATGTGTCTCATTTTAAGAAGAAAACGAGACAAAACCTTACAATGCGCAGTTAATTAGGAAAAACTGGACGAAAACCACAACACTCTAACATAAGCTACCAACACCGCGAAAAAAGAAAGAATGGCGAAGCCCAAAACAGCCATCGATAAAGAGCTTGTTGAAAGCGACACAAAGGCTTCGACTTCGCGTGGCAAGTGTTATCGTTGCCGAGCTTGTCACCTAGCGACACAGCAGCTTCGACTCCACAGCTATCACATCATCGTTACCAAAGGCATCGCAGAAAACGAGCAAGACACCGACTGTCCACTTTGAACATCAACCCAAGCCACTTGAGCACTACTACTTGTACACAGCTAACACCAACCTCCCTCGAAAACTTCAACGTGTTATCGTTGTCAAGCTTCATCGCACCCCGATAAAGTAGCTCCGACTTCACCTAGAAGAAAACGGAGAAAGTTGGACACTTGCCACATCCAAGAGCGGCACCCAAGAGACGAAGGCCTCGCCGAATAGCTAGGCTTATAGAGCTTCGACGTAGGGGGTCCACGAACGACCATCCTTGCATGGAAAAGGTTCTTGGTAGTGAGGGAGACGCCATAGCAACGCCTCCAAGGAGGGGAACGACGCCTAATGGCGCCGCCGTCGTCAAGCCAACCAAAGGCCAGCCAAGGCTTTCGCCAGCGTCATCCAAAACCACACAACCCACCCGCACAACGTATGACGCCGGACCGCCACATCATCCCTCTAGCCACCAAGCCTAGCCCACCACCCACAACTTAGGCAGGCTCACGAGTCCACCGTGCTGCCAACCCGCTGCCATCCTCTGCTGCACTGACCCGATCTGGCCAAGGCGGCCGTGGATCCGGCCGTCAAAGCTTGACAAGCCAACGTCACCGCGAGCGCCTACACTCCGCTGCACCGCTGCCACCGTCACCACCGCAACCGTCGGTGGGCGCAGCCAGTGGCTGCCACTATCTCCGCGCCGACGAGAGCCTCCCGCAACCGCCGGTGGCGCGCCCGCCCCCTCCGTCGCAGCACCAGGCCCCCGCCTCCGTCACACGCGCTCGATTCCCTCCGTGGCCGGCCTCCCGTAGCCATCCCCACGCCGGCGAGGCCACGCCGGCCCCCACCTCGCCTTGGCAGCTCGCCGTCATCATCCAGACGGCGGATCTGGCCAAGGGGCGCCGGAACTGGCCGTCCCCATCATCGGGCCGAGGGTCACCGTCGTTGCAGCCTTCCCGACACGTCGTCGACCTCCGCCCAGCGCGCCGCCGGCCTCCTCCATGCGCACACCGACCACCTCCGTGTGGACACCAGCTGGGACACCGGATCCGACCATGAGAGGCCCAGATCTGTCCCCACCATCGTCGAAGCTAGTCGCCGATGACCACCACTTGGGGTCCTCCCTCCGTCTTGGCAGCGCCCCGAGCCGCCGTGCCTGCGAGAGGAGGCAAGGAGTCCCGCCGCCGCCGTCCATGCGCCCGCCCGACTTTGCCAGTGGCCGCTCGGGCGGCGGCGAGGCGGAGGGGAGGAGGAGAAGTGGTCCCGCCCGTGCCACCCCGAGGCTGAGCGGCAGGAGGGCTTCTCCCCTAGGGTACTTGCCTGCGTTATCAATTCCAATCTGCTTCTTGAACTGCAATGCAAGGAGTTGCCTCATGATGAAGTTATTCAATGATTAGATTTTGTATGCCATTGAGTTTAGTTTGTATAGTGAATTTCACTAATAATTTTTGCTGGTGACTGAACTTGACTGAGCCTTCAAGGATTTCTTCGTGCAGTTGAGCCTTCAGGGTTATAAATAACGTTGATGTTTGGACGATTCTTCTCGATAAACGTCTCATGCGACTATGCGAGCATGGATGCTGGTAAGTTTCTCTGCTACATTGAGCTCGACTCCTCCGAGGAGAGCTAAAGAATGGGAAACCGGAGACGAAGAGATGAGGGGGTAAACCTGCCCTGAGATTTTTTCGGATGAGGGTAGGAGTAGGACTTATATATCCTACGTAATTTCCTTCCCCGCATCAACGTTCGGATGGGCGTTAGCATCCATAATTTATTATATATAAGTCAATTCTTTTTCGATTTTGCTATATCTCACTCAAAAGATTTTTTCTTATCTCTCACTCGATTTTCTCACTTAAATTTACAGTGCATTTTCTTGTAAGTTACAGTGTAATTTATGAAACTTACACTGTAACTTTTGTAAGTTACACTATAATTTTTGAATCTTCGCATGTAAATTTTAAATTTTGTATTGGATTTGGTCTTTTTCTTGAGGATATAGTAATTTAGTGTCCATTATGGTGTTTCTTAATTGCTTTTTACTTTTTATTATATCTATCGGATTTTAATCCAAAGATTAAAAATCTGTGTGATACGATCATAAAAATCTTTCGAAAGATGTATAAGTACTCCCATTCTTTTTTATAAAAACCGGTATATTTGTCAGTTTTTATTAAGAATCACATATATAGAGATTCATAGGGATCGGTTTTAACTTTTATCTTTCCTAAGAGTAACATGGATTGAAAAATGTTCTATAAATATCGGTTTCAAATGAATCGGCACATATACGGGTGCCCTTCATTGGTGTTTCTGTATAATTTAACATGTCAATGCCATTGTATATACATGCACCGCATATAATAAGGATGGGAAAATGTCACGCCCAGAAATTCACTAGTAATTTCCGAACTAATTTGTGCATAAAATCCTCGTCCAGAAATCAGCCGAGACACACAAACTGATAATTTAATATACAGAATCATCATAATAATAACGTTACATACTTATAAAAGAAAAGAGAAAACAACAACGGAATTACGGTCTAGCGAAGCTCCGGCTCCACTCCCTCTTCTCCTTCGCAACTTGTCTTCAACTGAGATTTGATTGATTATTGCAAGGTGAGCATATGACATATTCAGCAAGCCACACAGCAAATATGCAAGCGCACAAGGATACCAAAGGATGGCATAATATAGAGCTCATTTGCAAAAGCAGCATTTAGCAAACAGTTAAGAATTGTAAAACAGTAGAGTAATTAATCATCAATTGCTCAGGCCCAACCATCCTGAACAACCATACCCGGCTGTACCGATCTATCTCCAAACCAGGAATGTACCATTCCAAACCAGGAGCTAATCAAATTATTACCAGTTATAGGATCAGTTATTATGGTGAGAAGTGTGAGACTAATCACGAAAGATATTGTTAGACTCGCCCATGACCGCGGGCACGGCTATTCGAATAGTTTTACTCTGGCCAGAGGTGTACCACTGTACCCACAAAACACAGCCCCACAACATATCACCATGCGCCTCGATACCACCACGATACCTTGGAAAGGAGCTGTGACAGTATCCCTTGCACAACACAATCCACCACAGCGCATCGTTCCTGGATCATAATCACCCCATTATAAAACAAGGCATGGACTCCCCAGCGACTCCCGTGGGCTTATCTCCGCCACTTCTCAGTCTGGTGCCCCGCAATGAACCATGCTATACAAAAGGTAAAGCCGTTGCCCATGCTGGCTTGTGGTTGGCACGGTTAATGTTTCATAACCGAAACTCGTGAACCGGTCCTTAATTGTCATGAGCACGACCATCAAAACCATGTGCTCACAACCCACCATTATCAAGTTTTAGTTGGCAAGTAATTAATTAACCACTCACGATTGACCATCGTGAGCTTCCATTAAATATCCAAAAGTGATAGTGAAGCATGATTTATCCCATTAGTGAGCTATTGTTTCTAAGCATGGCTAAGAATCTATTATAAGCATCTAGCTGAACCAAACCAATATATAAGGTTCTAGCTAATTAAATTATAACCCATAGAAAAATAAAGTCATCTTCGGCCATAATTAAATAGGAAAGGCTCACCACCCGGTGACATTCGAAAATAAATGCACAGTTGAAATAAATAGAGAATTTAAATATAGGATCAACATGCTCAAAGGAATTGTGTTTGGGATCTATATGACTTGCTTTGCAATAATCGGTCTTCAATTAATCTTCTTGAATACTCCCGGCACACACGCGAACCTTCGAAACGACGGAAACGACAAGCTAACACGCAAAACAAGGAGGAAGACTAATAAAAACCAAATAAACAATACATAAAAGTAAACAAACATGTAGATCATAATTTTAGATAAATTTAGAGACTTGAATAGCCTCATTCCGACTTCATATGAATTAGTTATGAATTTTACAAGATTTAACTCCAATTAAATCTATTAAAGAAAAGACTATTCCAAATTAATTAAACAATTTACAAATGATTTATAACTGAGATAAAATATTAAAACAACCTCCGGAAAAAGATTAGAATATATTTAGTGGATGACATATATTAAAAA